GCTTGGCTCCACCAGTCTCTCTCTCTCTCTCTCTCCCCCTCTGCCTCTCTGATGCTCCTTAACCTCTCCATTTCTTCACACAATTCTGCCACCAGGCTGAGCAGACCATCCACCTGGTCACACCTCACACAGCCAATCTCACTATTGCCTTCCCCTGCCAGTGCCAAGCTCAGGCAGTCCCTGCAGCCTGAGAGCTGGGTGGCTGCATGCTTCTGTGGCAGCTCTGTCTGTGTCGCCACATGCCTCCTGGCGAGGACAGAGCTTAGGGCTTTCTGCCTGGTGGGTACCATGGCTGAGCTCCTTCTATGAGCGAGTGATGACCACCAGTGGACTCCCCTCTTGAGCAGGCAGACTGACTAGGCCCTACCCGCACACCCTGCATGCGCGAACTGCCGTGCCATGCCCTGGCTGACGCGCCCCGCTCTGTTTGCCTGCTCTGTTTGCCATGCTCTGGGTCGCTAGTGCTCCCTAGGCTGCTTTTTATAGGTGTCGGGGGTGCGCGCCGTTGTGTTTGGCAACGCCCAGGTCTCGTCAGTGGTACCCGCGAGAGCAACGTGACAAGCTTTTTAGAAAATGCTACAGAAGAAGCTTTTGGGGCTCCTACTGGCTTGGTTCCAGGAACCTATTCTCCCTTCAAAGCTTTGAACACTGGTTTTGAGGTTGAGGCTTCTTCCTGAGAAGATGAGTTCAAGAATGTTGAGGATTTCAGAGTCATAAAAACATGCATTTACAAGAATGTACCTCCTGTAGACAGGCTTGTGGCTCCCCTTTATCTTCCCTAGTGCCTCCTAGATTACCTTCTTGGTGGTTAATCTAAAGAATCTGAAGCTCAGCTGGTCAAAGCAAGGGCTTGTGACTTTGGCTGCAAAAAGTCTTTCAAGTTGAGGTAGAAGATAAAGTTTCATGTAACAGTGGAACTAGAACAGAGGTGCTCTTATCACCTCATTCCTCTCACACCAGCTCTCATGCTCATCCCATTACATGATAATATGTGATTCAACTAATTCATTTTAGTTACTTCTTTTTAATACAAGGTTAATTTTCTGCCATTCTTGTGATTTGAATCAAATCACTGTGTATTCACGTTGTGTACTCCCCTCTTTGGCTGCAGCAGGCTATTCACTTGGCACAAGCTAAATGAAACTGCAGAGTTGGGTTCCTGTGTTACTTAGCCATGATGCAGTAATAACCTCTGCAGGAGTGCTACTCCTGCAACTGGTTTAAAGAAAAAAAAATTTAAAATGAGCAGTGTACAGAGATGATTATGCTGCTGCAGGTGTTAATTTTTGTGTATAGGCACCTCGCTGCCCTCCACAAACCCTTGGCTTTGGTCAGTTGGGTTTAAAGAGAACTAGTTGCCAACCTGCACAGCCAGGAACAGGACTCAAGGACACCACAGCTGGCACAGCAACACCTTGCAAGCCAGTGAGAGGCTGCAATCCCTTTTCACAGGCAAATCTATGACAAGCACCAATTTTTTAACTGTGACACCCCACGAACAGTCATTGCGTCTTTCATATTAAGGATTCCATGCTTTTTAAAGAAATGTAAAAGGAATATAAACACGACTTCTATGAAACTGACCTAACTGAAGCCTCAAGCAGACTTTAAGACAGGAGACTGCTAGAACACTGCAGTTCTGCATGACAGTTGACATCAAAGCAGGCCCTTTGCCTTCTTTCTGTGCTAGAAAACTCACACACAAATCTTAGGAAGAGCCATCTGTATTATGTTTACAGAGCAGGTGAAGGAAGCAAAGCAGTGATAAGATACCACCCATGCCATCTTCTAACAAATTCACTGCCTTTTTTTGAACACCTGCTTCATGAACCAGAGAACGGTTCATAGGTCCCAGCTGTACAAAGAAATACAGAAACACTGATCTAAGGCACATGTTGAGGGAATTGGACACGTTTAGGCGCTCATATTGGTTAGCTCTAACACAAATTAACAGAGTTGGTCAGACCAGAAGGTCCTTGTAACGCTCGTGTCCCATCTCTGTTTGTCACCACATGGCCATACGTGTGGAGAGCGCTTGAGACCAGAGTGGGCGGGCTGCCTCCTGTTCGCCTCCGGCACTGCAGAGCTTAGCCAAGAGGAGCCCCATCAGCCTGCCTTCAGGCAGCAGGGGCCCACGCTTACACGGATGGTGGCCAAGTCAGAGATGCTGAAACATTCATGAATGTATTATGCAGGTAATAAGAAAAAAAGGCATAGTCTTTCACGTGGTCTAGCAAAGCCTTCCCAACACAACTTTTACAGTTAGTGAAGCATACAACGCTTTAATACCATCACAGTAGCGCTCCAAAATCCTTAAGGATATTCTGGCATAAGGGCAAGTTTGGTTCTTCAGTAAGCAATTATATACCAAAGGATGTTTTGCTTGCAATAGGTAAAGGGACCTCTTCATAAATTATTTTGAGATAAGGGAACTTCATAGGTAAAAACCAGTATTCCAGGTTGTAGAAGAGGTAAAACTGATGTTTCAAGATGACACGATCAATTATTTTTAACATATCCACAAAAAACTCTCCGACTGTCTGATGAGGTTTGAATGGATAGTAGAAGTCTCTTATAGCTGCTGCCAACGTCTTGTTTCCTACAGGTCCAAAAATAGATGTTTCATTTCCCAAGTAAATAGGTTCTCCACTGAATAAAATGATGCTGGTATAGTTTGTTTGTATCTTCTTAAATACAGCTCCTAAGTCAGCTAGCTTCTGGTACGTTCTCAGTATAAATTTAGAGCATTCATAAGAGTCAAACCATACTATTGATTGTTTGTCGGGACTTGCTTGAACTGTCCAGGTCTCATAGTAAATGCCAGTCTCATTGTCGTATTTTACCCATTTTGCCATTTCATTAAACATGGTTCCTGTAAGAGATGAAAATAAGTATTACAAAGACTAAGTAACAAATACATGACTCAAAATATTTTCCATCTATTTCAAGGTTCACCTCCCTTCCCTGAGAAAGTTTACCTACAACATTACCTAACCATACAAAGAAACATGGCTTAGGCTGGAGGAAGAAGTGATACCTCACTGAATAATCTATATTTATGTGTAAATTATTTAAACCGTAATTCCTTTTTCTGCCCTTTTCCCTGCTACTATGCCAGAACATCCAAATGTCAGAGAGCCATGACACTTCTCATTTTGTTTTATCCAAGTAGACAAATGAGGCAGGTAGTACAATCCACAAGAGATGCTGACAAAGTGCTCACCAGTGCAACAGGTGTCTCTGCACTTCCTCAAGTTGTAACTAAATTCAGCAATTCGGGGCAGAAGTTTTCATGTCTCTCCCCAAAAGAAGCCGATGTAAGCTTAGACTGAGACACCGTGCTGTTTTAGCAGCTCCTCAGCCAGCAAAGTTGAACTAAGACAAACAATAGGAGGGGGATGTGAAGACCAGTAAACCTAAAGACCTTGTGGATTATTTTTTTTAATTTAGAATACATGCTTGGAGTGTTTTGGTGATTTCACAACTGGAATTAGGAAGACATCTCTTAGCTCATCCCTCTGTAGCTCCATACATGTGATGCATGTGTCTCCCCAAAACAGAGCTGAAGCACAGGACTCATCTTCCTCTTTTTGTGTTTTCCCCGCAGTCCTAGCACTGCACCTCTGCCTAGCCGTTCCCGCTCTCTCTTTCCTCAGTCACAGCACACGGTACAACCATCTATGACTCAGATACGTCTAGCACCTCACATTCACAGCATGGCCAAATTTTTCAGATTATTCTTGTGTGATACGTCAGAAGACACAGCCAGACAACAGCTTGCAATCGTGATAGCGTTTCAAGCCACAATCTCTCTTTAGCTGCAAATGTCACTGCTGTGGGTATAGTAACTGGGCTTGGTAGCTGCTGAAAGATAGGCAAGGCTGTTGCAAGCAGCTACCTTGCAGTTCAGGGGTGGCAGACATCAGACAGATCCGTGTCACTAACACCGCCGTGCACACAACAACCAGCCTCTCGCATTAGGTCTGAATTCACTGCAATGCTGCATTTGTCAAGACCAACGAAGAGCGCTGCATGTCACACATCTCCCTCCAAAACAAGCTACAAAGGTCAGATTGTTGGGTCTACTCTTCATCAGAGAGTAAACCCATCTCACACTTGTCCTAAGGTAAGGCACGTATGCAAGCTACTACCTCAGAGTAACTAAAGCTCTGCACGCTCACCTCCTAGGGTACCCATTATAACTGTTCTATGCTTAAGAGCTTTTGGGCTTCACAGTAAACATAACAATCACTCTGTTTAGTGAAAGTGTTGTATACTTTCTTTTTTAATTGTCCATGACTTGGTTTAATAAAACAGCAAGTCGTTAAATCTGTATCAAGAACTGTACTTACTATACACTGTAGATGGGCTTGAAGCTCCCCTTTATCTTCTCTAATTCCTATTAGATTAGCTTCCTAGTGTGTATTCTGTAAGGCATGTTATTGAAAAGGATTTGTCTCTCTAACAAGACCAAGATGGACTACATATGAAGTTCTGGCCTTAACATCTTAAACAAAAATATTACAGGCTAACGCGTGGCTCCATGACAATCTGTTGGAAGATGCCTAGACAGTCAAAAATCAGATTTTGGATATTCCTGCCCTATTTGCACAAAAGAAACATACTCCTAAGCAACATTAACCTGGTTGATGAGCTTTAAATGAAAAACAAAACAAAACAACTTCCTGAAAGTTCTGTGGAAACAGGAAGCAAGACAGACAAGGAAGATCGTAACAATGCCTCCATAAGGCACCAGCATAATCTCACCCTTCTTAGGCATCAAATAATCCACACAGGCAGGAAGCTTTACAAGTTGCACAACTGTATGAAAATATTTAACTTGGTATTCATACAAAAGAATCCAACCATATCAGGCATCAAAGACTTCAGTCATGAGCTACAAATTCAGAGGAAAGCAGCTCCACTTACTTCATTGCTTAAAGAACAGCCTAGAATTTCTTAGCAGCACTGGATAGATTATCTGGAGACAAAATTCAGCAAAGCTGCTAAAGGTGGATATGGTCAAACATAAAGCACCGCATCACACCAGCTATAATCTGACGCTCCGTTGTGCCTTGTTCACTATGCTAACTTCGGAGAGTAAGTGGGTTTGGTCACACAAAATGCAATTCTCCAAGTCCTCAGGGGACTTTGTTCCCAAGTCATTCACTCTCTTACTACAGTAATCATAGAATCATAGAATGGTTTGGGTTGGAAGGGACCTCAAAGATCACGTAGTTCCAATCCCCTGCCATGGGCGGGGACACCCTCCACTAGACCATGTTGCCCAAAGCCCCATCCGACTTGACCTTAAACACTTCCGGGGAGGGGGCATCCACAACCTCTCTGGGCAACCTGTTCCAGTGCCTCACCACCCTCACAGGGAGGAATCAATGAGATTTATTGAAATGACTTTTTTATTTCAGGATTTCTGTGTTCAGTATATACCAGGAAGCTATTCTGGTGATCATCTACCTATTTAAGAAGTGTAAATCCTGGTTTCATTCTATGACATATGACAGAGACATATTACCGGGGACATTTGCACAGTTTTTATGATACATAATGGTGGAGATGGAAATTAATATTTTTTATACTATTTCTAAATATGTCTTATTTGTTTGCTCAGTAACGTACACATTTTCACCAGTTTTTCTATCTCAGCAGTCATCTGCCACTTCACAATAGAAGGCTTTGTTTTGGCAAAGCCATGTGAAGAGCCCATAATGGTTCTGAATAAGCTGTTTTGCTATTTTTACACTCAAGAGACTCAAGTGTTTTTGTACAGCAACAGCAAATGACCCTCATTTAACAACTCTTCAGCGCGTGTTGCTCAAAGGGCAGCAGCCTCATGCCACTTTCTGTATTAAAGAAAGTGCAGAGATAGTATTTCAGCTTGAAATTAGCATCAGTGACTAACACTGCCAATAACCTACAAAACTAATGAAAAGATACTGCTTTACATGAAGACAAGGCTGTTTCTGTATTTTCTATTAGCAGCATCCAAAGTATCCGAAATCTACCTGATATTGTGGTCACAAGAACTAGAGTTCCATTTTCCTTCCAGTGTGCATCATCTATTCCTTCAAAAAAGCAGGCAGCCCCCTGGTTACACCAGAATGGTGCGTCCATGCCAGGCCGGAGATGTGGAAACGTGCAGTTCCCAAGCTGGAAGAGCTCATACCACTCCATTGTGTAGTTTTTGCCCGTCAGAGAGCTCTTGAAACCCACAGCATCATGCATAATTTTCTGGAAAAGGAAAAAAAAATTGCCTCAAATGCCAAAACTTTAACATAAAACTGACTTCAGCTTGATCTGTACAGAAGGTAAGACGATTTGGAGCTGTTGTGTAACAGAGGGAGAAGAGGGGAAGGAGTTCCTGTAACATCTTGGATTCAGCAGCATTGATACAGCATACTAGGTGGTATCACACACATACTTTTATCACAGTCACACTGTCTCAGTGCATGTCTCTCCATCCATTGTAAATTCTGTTATTTGGAGGCAGATACTCAGTGGGAGCTCACCATCAAAACTCAAGCTTACTTTTGAATCCTTAACCTCACAGGGCTACCAAAGAAGGAAAGAGTAGAACTGAGTTACCAAAACCAGATCTTAGTAATGAAAGCCACAAAAGGAATCAGACAAATATTTAAAGTTGTATAGTAAATACATAAATTCAATCTTTGTTTAATAACTGAGATAATGACATTTGAAGCTATTTCCATTTTTGTCTCTGTGTGCTTGGTTTTGATGTTGCTACTTCACGTTAGGGATCGTGCTTTGAAGCTTCATTATGCTACTGCTATAGCTATAAATATTACTAAAGTTGAGATTCTTTCATATTTGCATGACCCCAGGAATGGAGACTGTAATTCAATACTGATCATAACATTCAAGAACGAACTGTAAAAGCAACCAACTCCCCATGATCCACCATTCTGACCAGCTAGCTGTCCACTCCTGACAGATATCCATGTTCATGCAAATATCTAAGTTAACAACAGAAAAGTTAATACACTACATGTGCATTTCATCTGACATAAGGGGGCAAATAAAGGTATTTTCTTGATGCAGTGCTAGCACAGAAAAGCAGACACCCAAAACGTAATGGTGCGTGTGCACAAAAAACTCCCAATATACAGCTCTGTGGGGGAACACATTCGAACCCAGCAACAGTGCTGGTCATGCTCTTTTCTTTAGCTGAGCTAAATTCTGTAACTTTTGTTTGACGCTTACTGCTCTTTGGATATCTTTCCTACATATAGCCTAGCTTGTGTGCTCCAATACTCTTCCATATAAGCATATCCCAACCTTACAGCTCTCATTCTTGACACCTGCTGTTGAATTCACCTGCATTTGCCACTATAACTTAGTCAAACAAAAATACCACCTTACCAAATGTCCCAGTAGGTCCCCATATTTGAATTCCCATACTGGAGCCTGTAATCGATACACTTCAATGACATCCTCTTCTTTCATAACTGGAATGGCAGAGCCAGTGGGACAGAAGGTGTAACGAGCTTGGCAGTAAGGATCAGTTTTTGGACGGTAATCAAAGCGCCTGCGTTGAGAAAGAGAAGCACACAGAATGATAAGCGCAGCTTCACAGCTGGAGTAACTGCCCTGTAGCTTTGTTAAGGGCCTGGGTGGGAGAGCTCAAGTGTGCAGCCACCCCCTGACAACAGATTCTGTGATCCAGATGCTGCAACACTTGGAGTACACAAGTTCGTAAGGCTGCTGAGGTGCACGTCTGCAGGAACAGGACTTAAGACTCGCAAACACGAGTCATGTTGTATGCAGTACTGATAGCAAAGGAGTGGATATGATGGAGATTACAAAGGGTGACTTATCACCCTCATGATCAGAGGGCTGGAGCACCTCTTCTGTGAAGACAGGCTGAGAGAGTTGGGGTTGTTCAGCCTGGAGAACAAAAGGCTCCAGGGAGACCTAATTGCGGCTTTCCAGTACCTGAAGGGGCCTACAGGAAAGATGGTGAGGGACTGTTTATCAGGGAGTGTAGTGACAGGACAAGGGGTAATGGGTTCAAACTAAAAAAAGGTAGATTTAGATTAGATATAAGGAAGAAATTCTTCACTGTGAGGGCGGTGATGCACCGGAACAGGCTGCCCAGAGAAGCTGTGGATGCCCCATCCCTGGAAGTGTTCAAGGCCAGGTTGGATGGGGCTTTGGGCAACCTGGTCTAGTGGAGGGTGTCCCTGCCCATGGCAGGGGGGTTGGAACTAGATGATGGTACTAGATGGGTAGAGGATGGTTTGAAATATTCCTCAGAAACATTCTCCTAACAATTTGTCTACACAGGGATTGACCAGTATGCTCTGGGAAACTACTCTATAGTAATAGCTCCCCAGATGGAGCTATTTTTACTCTAGAATATTGCCAATATCAGAAAGAAATATTCTATTCCTCTATGCTAATTTAGATAGGCCTAAGAACCTATGATCACTGTTTCCATTCATCATTCCTATTAAACCTCAAAAACTGAAGACCGAGTCCACTTCTATATCACACTATATACAAACAGCAAAAAGCCTTTCTGACAAGTCTTCCTTTCCCAATTTTCTTCAAATTCACTCACTGTATTTCATTTAAAACAAAGTTCCTATATTCCTGTCACCAAGACAGATTGGCGTAGACAGTTTTCCCAGAGCACAGCCTGAGAGTCTAACACAGTCAGCTGCCGAGGCCTACTGAGTGGCACAAATACCCCAGACATAAGAAGACTCAAGGACACGGGACTTCCTGAGCCATAGTAAGGCCAGTAGCCCTGCTGAGACACCGCAGATTTTCCTAGTGGACTTATACTCCAAGCTTGCTGGGTACTGCAGCATGTCTGCCTTTATTTTTTTTTTTTTTTTGGGGGGGGAGAGTATGGCTGCAAAAAGAACATACAGAAAACAAAAACTTATGCCAGTCACACATTTAAGTCCTGTTTCTAAATCGTACATCTTAAATTTTCAATTTCCCCTCCCACTGCATTCTGCATGTGACAAAAAGGTGACAAACATGTTAAAAAGCATTAAAATACCACATTTCTGAGGACAGGCTTGTACTCCAGGTTTGAGCATTCCAAGACCCAGTCTTGCAACTCATGAACTCGCTGGAAAACCTGACACATGACTGCGAGATCAGCTCCTTCAGGCATCACCCCATACAAATTTCACTGCTAGGAATTGCACAACAGGCTTTCAAAACTTCATGTGTGCATTAGATAGCAGTTAAAACTATAACACCTCCCTTCACAAACAGCAAACCCACATAAAATACACATGCGAGCGTAACCCTTCTCCTGAAGAGGCTCATTTCCTCAGCATAACCAAAGCCGTAGCTACTTGCTTCAGGTAAATGCGATAACAGGCATTCTTCTGCTCTCCCCAACAGTGCCAGGCCTTCTGCTGGAGCTAAGGCAGCTCCAGAGCAGCAAACAGAATCTTATACCATTTCAACAAAAGTATGAAGTAAACTTAAATTTAAAAAATAAATCGTAGCCTGACTTCCTGATCGCAAGTTTTCGCTAAAACAGGAATTAAAGGAGCAACTTTAAAGCAAGGGCAGTGGTTCCCGGGGGCTGCAATCCTACTGTTGACAGAGCAAGCGCAGCTCTAGGCCAGCGACGGGACACTCGTTCCCTTGTGAGTAAACACACCGCATGCCCTATAAATGACAAATATCCCCGTGATTAAAAAGGGGGAGCCATTCATGGCCTTTTTAGTCGAAACGTTAAATAAACAAAACAAACAGAAAGCTGACGGGCCGAGGAGGAGCAGCGGGTAAGGCGCAG